ATAAAAGACCAGTAGGTTTTACTTTTGCTTTCCCTCTTTCCTGTTTTTTTTTTTTAGATTAATTGCTTTTGATTGATCTACTTGTATGGCAGTGATCCTTTTACCTGTTTTTAGCTTTAAAGGATTGAGAGATGACCTGACATGCCTACCTGATGAGGATTTGTCTTCTCTGTGTCTTTGTGCTTTGCATTGTGAGATGCGCAATACTGAGCAGATTTTGAAAAGTGTTGGTCTTCTGGCCTATGAAATTGGTTCTCTGCAAGAGTGTAATGACGAACTATCATAGTATGGCCCAGAGAACTTCAAAGCAGACCAGATCACGGTAAAACTGAGACCTGGACAGCAAACAGCTCCTGGTAGAAACAACATTTCTTTTGCCTCTTGTTCAGGTCAGTTACACAGTATTACATAATAATTATTAACCATTTATTGAAAGTGTATTTTCATCTTGAGAGAGCCTTGCCTTGCAGACTAAAGGCAATTTTATAAATGGTTTGTTTTGGGGTGTTTCTTAATTTTGCTATGGAAGTGGGAGGTCATGGAGAGAAACAAAACACCTTCCCTGGTTTTTGTAAACCAGTTTAAAAAATGTTTGTAAGACAATCAGATCTGTCCCTTCAATTCAAATTGCTGTCATGAAATTTGCCTGTTTTGTAGTCACAGTAATTTTTACCACTTCTCAACAAGCATTGATAGTTTAAATCACTGGAAGGCAAAAAAATTATAATTATTTTTTTCCTTTTTTTTCCAGGAAGTACTGAACGTCAAATTTTGAGTGCTATTGAAGACATAGTTGACAAATCCCTCCCATCTTCAAAACTTGCAGCCCATTTTAAAGATAAAGAAGCAGCTAAAATATGCATTCTGAACAAAATATCATTCTGTGAGGCACGGCAAAAGGTGATTATTTTGGTAGTACTACCCTTTTTTTTGCTTTGAGATATTATAACGATTCAAAGTTAATCTTCCTTCAGTAGTCACCAAAAACATGATATGATTCAATGTGTTTTTCACAAGGGCATCTTCATAATCCACCTAGGTTAAAAAACCTAGTTCTGTTCAACTAATTTATTTTAAATTGAAATGATGAAGTACATGTTTTGTAAAAACATTATTGTTTACTGGCCTTCACAAGATATTGACTGAGTTGACCAATTAAAGTACTGTTATAATTTATTTGCTTGATTTTAAACGGGTCTATTTTTTCTTGAACTTTACAGTACTACAGTGAGATGTTGGAGAGTGGCATTTATGTAAGGGATTTTGGGACAAGACTCGAAGAAATCAACTTGGAAAAGTCAGGTAGTAGACTGAAATGATTTGTGGTTGAAAATGAAAAAGCATACCCCCAAAAAAATGGTCCTGGCATTCTGCTGGACTACAGCTGGATCTCATAAGACATTGGCAAAGTTTGGTTGGCCATCGTCTGATCTCCGACTGTTATTTGCAGCCCTGTAATTGGGAGGAGGGGATAAAAGCGGCAGTTTACAGTATCTAAGTTTTGTTTACTGTTATTTATTAGATGTTGCCAAAGAGATTGAACATCAAAAAGCATTTTGGCATGGGAAGGGGAAAGAAATTGAAAGTCCGTTTAAAGAGCTATACCAACCCACTCAGCCAGCTCCAGCATCCAAAGGCAGAAAGGGACGAATGAGTAAGAAGCTCCCACAGAAAGAGGAGAATAAAGAGCTCAGCTCTTATGCAGGAACCCTAACCAAGGAGTTTCTGATCAAGGTGAGCCTCTTAAGTCCTTTACTATCCTTTTCCTTTCTTGTCTTTGTTTCCTATCTTTACCCCCTTTTTCCCTATTTATGCACCCATCAAATGCAAATTTGTCATCTCTAATCTGTGTGACTGGGCATCAAGATTCATCTACCTCAGTGACCTGAATGGTCTTACACTGGATGACAAGTCTATGAAGCTCTGCATTGTCAATAAATACATGTACATATAAGTTTTTAACTTTCAATTGTTTAACAGGTATGCTCTCTGTGGAAGGAGATTGCTGTAGTCACAAGGGACAGGGAATTTGATAAAGATGAAGAACATCTCATTGACATTTTTGATATAAAGGCATGTCCATTTTAGTTTATCTTACTCCAAGTTCAGTTCATCCCTTAATGAATTCACTTTATAGTTTTATGAATAACTCAAAGCAGTAGAATTCGAGGCTTTTGAGCCTTTTGAGTTTTCATTGACGAACTTTATAAGTAACCCACCATCATTTTTTCAAAGTGCAGGTGATTGACGGTTTGACTGATCTCTTTCAATACACTTCCTTATTTCTTCAATGTTAAACTTGCCTTAGTACTGCAGGTTAATAAAAAGTTCAAATCAATCTGCCAGTATGTAGATCTAAATACTGTCAATGCTGTGAATTGTACAACACTGCTCCTTCAAGTAATTAATATCAATAATAATTCTTGTCATTTGCTTTTAGTGCAAAGAATGGGGGTTTCTTTTATTGGAGTTGTTTGGTACGAGTCTTGGGACAGGAGATTATGGACATCTCATGATAGAGCATGTGCCAATGCTCTTTAGAGTCCACCGTTCTCTGCATGACCTCTCAAATCAAGGATTTGAAGCTGCTCACAAGCTGCAGAGACAGCTATATGCCAGAGCAACATCACATGATTCTCCTGGCAACACTTCCTCATGTAAGTTAGTTTTTAATATTTTATCTTAATGCTTGAGTTATATACAATTGTCTACTGATAACTTGATCCAGCGGGAAAATTATGAAACGTTCAAGGCAATTGAGTGACCAGAGAAAGTGTGACGTTTGATATTTTGAAAATCTTCTTCTTAATTAAACTTTATTTAGAAATTCAACCCATCAACCAGGTTTCAAGTTACTAAGATGTTACTGAATATTCCAAATAGGAAATGGTAATAATCCAAAAATTACACTGATAGTTGCCTCATTATGTTATGCTATAATTAACAATACGTACATAGCCAACTAGGTGTGTATGTAGGCACTAGGTGTACATATACGTAATGTGTTGAGTATATCTGTTTTAGTGGATCAAATTCTTACCTACTTATTCACTGAGAAGTTCCTTGACATGAGGCTTTCCTTTAGAGAGGCTTATCGCTGCATAACTTCAGGTATTTATATTCTTTTAGACCTTGCTTTTTTATTTCATGATAATTGCTTGCTTAAATTTTTTTTTTTCCAAATTACAAAAGGTAAAAAGTTAAACTGTGACCATGGCCATGAGTCATGTACCCCGAAGAGTACACTCTGACGGAAAGCATTGCTGCTTCTTGCAGCACTGGTGAAAGAGACTCCCATAGCAGCACAAGTGGCGATGAAGAACTCGATGACAGCGAAGATGAAGATGAGTGCCAGTGAAAGTTGCATTTGAAAATAACAGTGTTAAATACTTCTTTTCAGTAGCTACAAATGC